AACAATTACCATGGAGGTAGGAACAGACACGCTATGCACGAACTACATGTTTTCAAAGGTATCCTGAACGGAACACACGTAGACTTGCCTCAGTCATGCGTTGTTCACTATTTCCACACAATCTCGCGGTCGAAACTTCCAGGAAGGGGTGGGCGTGGCTCAAATCGGGATGAACATAGTAACAAACACAAATTGGCCAAAAACACGCAAGGTGTGGGCCAAACTACCTTTGGGGAGGGGAACTTCACCTTAAAAGGTTTCCTTTCCTTAACGCAAGACAGTTAAGACATACTAAAAAAATTCCAGAGCCTCGCTGTAGAACAACAAGAATGAGAAACAGCCCAATACCATCTTTGATAAGACTTTATAATGCGAAGTAATATTTATCTCTATTGAGTAGCAACAGCTTATAAATTGACCAGTCTCACTCAGTCTCTTGTATCTCACTGTATAACTCTTACATTTTTAATGCATATGTCATGTTCCAACACAACTCTTTTACTTTTTTCACTTTATATTTACGGGTTATTACAAAACTGACTCTTTAAATTGAATTTTATCAAAGAAGTTTATAATTTTAGCTCAAGGGCTGATTATGTATTTTTTCCCCTTAAATGTAATACTTAATAAGTGTTTTTTACTGTTATGTGTCATAGTTTTGTGTTTCTTATTTGTATGTAAGCATTGTCTTTTAACAATATTTGTAAATCATGTAAAACATTGTGCAATTCGGCCGCGAGGCTGCGATATGATGTTTTTAAAATAAACCATTTAATAAATAAATAAATAATAAATATAATGCAATGCAAATAATGCAAATATAACACCACCCCCCCCCCTTTTCTAAAACTTTTTTTACAAACTTGAACAAGTTTTATAATTAGCAATATGAAATCATTATATGACTGATGTGTAAAATATAAGTATAACCAAACCAAAACCATTCCACATTTCAGGCAAGTAGTAAAATCTATTTGAAATCTTCATAAATAAGGGGAATTAGACGGTAGAAAAGGTAAAAATAAGAAAGTACAAAAAGTTCACTTTGTTTTGTAATATTGTCCGTTTACCAATTTGTACGTGACCTAAAGGAAAATTCCAGAAAAAAATAAAATAATTTAACAAACAATTGCACAATTAAAAAAACCCAGTCAAACACAGGATTTAAAAGAAATTTTATTATATACAATAAGTTTGATATCTACATTGACAGAAATAAGAAATGAAACATTTTCTCTGTATAAATAGCTTATCTCAGATTTTCAAAAACAGGGGTTGTCATTTTCCTGAATCTCACTTTCCAACCCAGCATATATTTTGTAGTAAATGAACAAATAAAAAGCACACATTCCTCATATGTCAGTGTCACCACACTGCTTGTAACTTTCAACAATTAACTGAAATGTGAGGCATATTCTGGCAAAATGAGACGGAATTGGGCACAAAAATGAAATGAGTGTGATTTTTTTCGATTTTCAGATTAATATAATTTTTGATATGTCTACTACACATATTATAATCATCGTGGAGTAAAAGTGTTTTCAAGGAAAAGCAATTGGCATCTTTCATTTTCAGGACTACAAAATGTGTAACTTTAAATAAAAGGACTTTTTCTCAGTATTTTACCGATTGAAGTGCAAAAAAACAAAAACCCTAATTTTGACATCTGCCAAGTTGTCTCATTTTGCGAGAACGCCTCACAAATGTTCTCGTATATTATGATTTCAATAAATTAAATTCAATTAAATTCAATTAAATTCAAGCTTAAGTGAAGTAACAGCTCAGATAAACTGTCCGCCCATCTTTGAATTTGTTTCCATTCTCCGACAGTGACATCACTTCATTCAACCTAGGATGATTGCAACAGCGCCCTCTATTGATCGTGAGGCAAATATGACTAATAGATTTGTACCCAGTCCCTCCATTGTTCTTCTGAGCAATTCCGTAAACATCTGAGACATTACAGGAATCTGCTATACCAGTGAGTAATAAAGATTGTGTCTGTACCTTCCCCCGACTTACCTGGATGAAGATGTCAAAATTACCAGACCAAAAAGTAAAATATAAAAAATATCAACACAACTCACCACAGGTTTTTACAACCATAATGTGAATTGTGATATTTTTTTTCTAAGATAAACGTTCTCAGCATGCAGGGAAGGTTTTTAATTTTTACCAAACTGGAGTTCAAAATTCTTTTTCCCCCCCCAAAAAATCTACAACCTCTTTAGTGAAAAATCACTTTAGCATTTCATTTTCATGAATATTATTAAAACATTAATTAAAGGGTTTTTCATACATATCCAGGTCTGCGATTCTCATGACAACTGAGCATCTATGCATAGAAATATCTGAACTAGATCGACTACAACGAACTTTCCTATATGGACTCGAATTTTGACGGCAGATATATAAAACTCCTGTACAGTGGGATATAGACTACTGGCAATACATATATGTTGTGTCCTTGGGCAAGCCCCTTCACCCCCACTTGCCTCTCTCCACCCGGAATTTTATTAAATGGGTACCGGCATTAGCTGGGGAGTAACCTGCAATGGACTGGCACCCCATCCAAGGGGAATTGAAATATCCTCAGTTGTTTCATGCTACTGAAACCGAAGATTAACGCTGACCTGATGGGCCATATTGGCTTGTGACAGACTTTCCATTTTGTTTTACCTGCCATTGTGAAGCTAAGCGAGGTTCGATGGACTGAAGTTCTTTCCTACGTTCCCTCTTCTTGATATGACCGTACTGTTGGTAGCATATATAGGCAAACCCCACACCTAGGGGGATCGGCACCCACTTAAGATTCCTGCCATAGTTGACGAAGCCTATTGCTAAGCGACGCATCCAGGACGCCCTTGGTGCTGCGACAAAAGTTGGAGAAAAAATTCAAAGAGTGTTTTTTTTTTTTTGCGAAACGTGATTTTTCTGGCTAATGGCTAAGCAATGTGCAATATAAAGGACTCTTCTGTTTAACAATACCGAAAAAAATGTTGCAACCTGACGCCACTTTTTTGTTCATATATCATCTCAATGAAGGTCATTCATTTTGTTAGGAAATACTTATGAAGCGAAATATCGCGGAAGTGGTGTCAGGTTGCTTCAGAATCTCTGTGAAGGATTACATTATAAATTCAATGTCGTAATAAAATAAATCAAAGATGGCCTATCTGATCCGTGGACCAATTTACAAAAACCAGGGTAAAAATGTATTATTCCTGATGCCACGAAAGACTTTGTCGATGGGAAGACTTGAAAAAAATCAGAGACTCAGGTTATCATATGCCACTTGATTTATAATTCCATTGCATTAATAGACCCCCCCCCAAAAAAAATAGTTCTGCTTCCGATTAGGGGGCCTACATGGCATTCAAAAATAGGTTAGGTAGGTAGGGAATTTTTTTTTTGCCAATTTTTGTTGTGTCGATCATATGGAGGCGTCTGCGTGTAGTCAAGGGTAAAAGGTAGAAATTGATGGTTTTGGGTGTTTTTTTCCTCATTTTTCCCATAAAAAAATTAGGGTAGGGGCTCTCAGAATAGGGTAGGTAGGGAAACCGGAAGCAGAACAATTTTTTTTTTGGCCTTATGAAAACTTTCTTTCTTTTCAAAAAGAACGTTTCATCTTGAAGTTGATGCCACATTTGTGGGCATATATTATTTCAATGGAAAGTCTACCGTACACGTACGTCACTTTTTTTCAATCAATTTCCAAGTGCCAAAAAGTTACTTGCTATGTTTTTTTCCATCTATTTTCCCTCTCGACTCTCACTCTGTAACCTCCTCCAATCCTCTTTATTTACCAGTTACTTACTCCACCGGGATTCGAACCAGCAATCTTGTTATTTAATCACACCAGCCTTATCCTCTACACTAGTCGAACGATCGTTGTCAGTAAGGGACTGTTTAATGTATTTTGATGCTAATGAATATTTAATAAACTAAATATTCATGACAAATTAAATATTCTGTTTTAGCCTCTGAAGAAGAACTTGCTAAGTTCGCAACGTCAGGCCACATTAATTTTTAGATTTATATATTTCAGGTCCATCCAGTCAGTAAGCAGTTTGCAGCAGTCTTACTTTTTTCAAATTAAATATTCATGATGACGTTTGCACTATCATTGGGTACACGTGGTGACGTGTGTCGATGTCACGTCACATGCACTGCATACATCAATAACCAATGCCAAAAATGGCCAAGACTGTCTGCTGTCGAGCTGAGTGATATGTGCATCAAAAGTGAGCTCTAAAACACATTTTTCCGAAAATGTCTTCACATTTCCAGAGCTTTCTGGATTCATTTTAGATGAAATCACTAGGTGAGGTGAACATTGATGTGTTTAACTGGCAGATAATTGACATACTAGTGCGCAATTTATTCTGAAACATTTCCAATTTTCTATAAAGTTTTTTTGACTCTCCATAGGCTTTGTACACAACCGCTTAAGTGGCGTCTGGACACTACATGTGCATTCCATTTCCGAATGACCACAAGGGTCTAGTGATAGTGGAAAAAAGTTGCATCGGGACCCTGCATTCCAACCCTTAATCCCTTATGCACTTTGTGGAATGAGGTTGCATGATATGACTCAAGGCTAGGCGCACACAATGTCAATGACACAACACTCAACAGGCAACGAACAAATCGAACTACGAACGGTGCAGCGCATCACACTCCCGAAAAGTTGTAATATTTACCATGACTGGCTTCACTTGCGTAGGTCCTCGCATTCTGCTGCGGATAACTTGCATAAAATCTGCTAGAAGGACGATGACAAAAATGATACTGGATGTCCATGCTAAACATGCCAAAGAAAATCAACTTTTACTCAGCGGCGCAGATACGATCTTTGTTTATCCACGCGTTACGTATGCAATCGATGCTCTACACAATGTACATGTAGTTGCGAAATTTACGTACACTGCATGATGTAATAACGTAATGTAGTTTGGAACCAGACTATTGCTGCCAGGTTTAAACTTGAACTAGTCCTTGGACTGTACTTAAAATGTTCATTCCATGCGTCCTCATTTCAGTGGCGTAACGTGGCCCCAGTTATTACGTTACTACAGTCTCTAATTTTTAATTAGTCACTTAATTGTTTCCCACTGACCTCCATGCTTGGTATACCATCTTCTCTGCGTTATCAAATGAATAAAAACAAGTCACCCGGAACGGCCGATGCATGCGATAAAGAAATTGTTCAGAACCGGGCAATTCTTAAAAAAAAGGGGCACTCTTTAGTGGGGGGGGGGGGGGGGGGGGTTAGGCGCTGGTGGAAAAAAGGGCAGTATCAAGGGCAGTCTTTACACAATATTGGGGGGGGGGGTAAATCCCCCCTTACCCCCCCCCCCCTCTCCCCCGCTGGCTACGCCTATGGG